TTGTAGAGACGAGGTCTCGCCAAGTTGCCCAGGCGGGTCTCGAAACTGCGGGCTCAGGCAAGCCACTCACCTCAGTCTCCCAAAGCGCGGGATTACAGGCTGAGCCACCGAGCCCGGCTAAGTATACTCTTAATATGTAAGTGCATTCATGTTTTTTTCCCCCGAGTTGGAGTTTAACTCTGCTGCCCAAGCTGGAGTGCAATGGCACGCTGCTCATGGCCACCGCAGCCTTGACATGCTAGGCTCAAGCGATCCTTTCACCTCAGCCTTCCAAGTAGTTGAAACTACAGGCATGCGTCACCACACCCAGCTAATTTTTTGATTTATTGTAGAGATGAGGTCTTGCCATGCTGCTCAGGCTGGTTTCGAATCCCAGAGTTCAGGCAATCCTCTAGCCTCTGCCTCCCAAAGTGCTGGGATTATAGGCATAAGCCACTGGGCCTGGCTGCATTCATACTTTTAAACTGCTGCCAGAACTACCAAAGTAGAAAACACTAAGATCCATAACTATCTAAGGCTTTGAGAAAATAAGCATTTTCAAACTGTCCTGTGGCAGTGCAATAGAAAAAATGATTTTGTAGGTCGGGTGTGGTGGCTCACGCCTGTAATCCCAGAACTTTGGGCGGTTGAGGCGGGAGGATTGCTCAAGTTCAAGACCAGCCTAGGCAACACAGCAAGACCTTATCTCTACAAAACATAAAAAAATGGCTGGGCATATGGCGTGTGCCTGTTGTCCCAGTTACTTGAGAGGCTGAGGAGGGAGGATCATGTGTGCCCAGGAGGTGGATGCTGTGGTGTGCCATGATTGTGCCACTGCACTCCAACCTGGGTAACAGAGCGAGATCCAGACTCAAAAAAAAATTTAAGAGATCTGAATAGACATTTTCCAAAGATGATTTATAAAGTTTATGAAAGATGCACAACTAGCCGGGCTCGGTGGCTCAGCCTATAATCCCGAGCCTTTGGAAGGCTGAGGTGAGTGGATTGCCTGAGCCTCGGGTTCGAGACCCGCCTGGGCAACTTGGCAAGACCTCATCTCTACAATAAATCAAAAAATTAGCCGGTGTGGTAGCGCGTGCCTGTAGTTCCAGCTACTCGGAAGGTTGAGGCAGAAGGATCGCTGGAGCCCAGCAGGTCGAGGCTGCGGTGGCTGGGAGCAGCCACTGCACTCCAGTCTGGGCGACAGAATGAGACTCCAACTCAAAAAAAAAAAAGAAAGATGCACGACAACACTGATTCACTAGGAAATGCAAATCCAAACCCCAGTGAGATGCCACTTAACACCCACTAGGATGGCTGTTATCAGAGAGACAGCAGAAAGTGTTGAGAATGTAGAGAAATAAGGATGCTCACACAGTGTTGGTGGGAAAATAAAATAGTGTTGGAAAACAGTTTGGCAGTTTCTCAAAGAGTTAAAGAGTTACCATGAGAGGCAACAAACATCCAAGAAAACTGAAAACACGTCCATTCAAAATTCTACATATACATATTCATAAAAGCATTACTGATACTTCCCCGAGGAGGAAACAATCCAAATGTCCATCTGGATTACCAAAATGTAGCACATCCATATGATAAAATAATACTCAGCAATAAAAGATATGAAGTGCAGGCCAGGCATGGTGGCTCAAGCCTATAATCTGAGCACTTTGGGAGACTGACGTGAGAGGACTGCCTGAGCCTACAGGTTCGAGACCAGCCTGGGCAACTTGGCGAGACCTCGTCTCTACAATAAATCAACAAATTAGCTGGGCGTGGTAGCGCGCACCTGTAGTTCCAGCTACTTAGAAGGCTGAGGCAGAAGGATCGCCGGAGCCCAGCAGGTTGAGGCTGCGGTGGCTGTGGGCATGCCACTGCCCTTCAGCCTGGGTGACAAAGTGAGACTCCAACTCAAAAAAAAAAAAAAAGGGAAAAAAAAAGATACAAAGTACTTATATATACTTCCACATGGATGAGCCTTGAGAAACGTATGCTAAGTAAAAGAATCCAGACACAAATGGCCATGTATATTGTATGATTCCATCTGTGTGAAATTTCCAGAACACATAAATCCACAGAAAGTAAGTGATTGTAGGGGACTGGGAGCTCTGGTTTGATAACTGTACTATGATTATGCAAAATAATGTTCTTATTTTTCAGAAATACATAATATACTGAGATGTAAAGGTTCTGTACCTACTTCTCAAGTGTTTGGAGGAAAAATACACACACATACAAAAGAGAGAGAAAAGGATATGAATGAGCTAAACCAATAAGGAAACCAAAAGAGGTAAACAGTCGATACTGTCCTAAAATTGACTGCAGCAGAGGCTGCATACTTGTAAATATACTAAAAGTCAAAACCATTGATTTGTATACTTTAAAAGGTGAACTAGGCGGGCTCGGTGGCTCAGCCTGTAATCCCGCGCTTTGAGAGATGAGGTGAGTAGATTGCCTGAGCTTGTGGGTTTGAGACCTGCCTGGGCAACTTGGTGAGACCTCATCTCTACAATAAAAATAAAAAAAATCAGCTGGGTGTGGTAGTGCACACCTGTAGTTCCAGTTACTTGGAAGGCTGAGGTAGAAGGATAGCCAGAGCCCAGCAGGTCGAGACTGCAGTGGCTGGGAGCGTGCTACTGCACTCCAGTCTGGGCGACAGAGTGAGACTCCAACTCAAAAAAAAAAACCCATAAATATTCAGCTAAGTGTAACAGCTCACACCTGTAACTCCTGCACTTGGGGAGGCTGAGTCAGGACAACTGACTGAGGCTAGAAGTTCAAGACCAACTTGGGCAACACAGGGAGACCTCATCTCTACAAAAAAAAAAAAAATTATTCAGACATGCTAGTGAGCAACTGTAGTCCTAGGTACTCAGAAACCTGAGGTGGAAGAATCCTTTTAGTCCAGGATTTCAAGGTTACAGTGAGCTAGGATGGTGCCACCTGCACACTACCCTAAGCAAGAGAGTAAGACCCTAGCCGGGCTCGGTGGCTCAGCCTGTAATCCCGCGCCTTTGGGAGGCTGAGGTGAGTGGATTGCCTGAGCCCGCGGGTCCGAGACCCGCCTGGGCAGCGAGACCTCATCTCTACAATAAATCAAAAATTCAGCCAGGCATGGTAGCTCATGCCTGTAATTCCGGCTACTCAGAAGGCTGAGGTGGCCGGGAGCGGCCACTGTACTCCAGTCTGGGCGACACAGTGAGACTCCAACTCAAAAAAAAAAGAGAGTAAGACCCTGTGTCTACAAAAAGATTAAAAACAAGGAAAAAAAGTATATTCACACGATGGAATACAATACAGTTACAACTGCACAAAACAATGTCAATTAATCTCACAAACGATGTCGAAAAAACGTTTTGAAAAGCCAGTCACACAGGAATAAATGTATGATTCTAGCCATAAAAGTTCAAGCATGGGCAAAACTAAACTATGATGTTACAAGTCATGAAAATGGTTACTCTTAGGAAAAGACTAGGTAAGGAGTAGAATACAAAGGTTTCTAGGGTTATAACAATTTTTTCCCCTTGATATTGGTGCTGGTAACACAGTTGTGATCACTTTGCAAAAATTCGCTAGGCTGTTTACTTTTAACATGTGCACTTGCCAGACGAGGTGGCTCATGCCTATAATCCCAGCACTTTGGGAGGCTGAGGTGAGAGGACTGCCTGAGCCAACGGGTTCGAGACAAGCCTGGGCAACTTGGCGAGACCTCGTCTCTACAATAAATTAAAAAATTAGCTGGGCATGGTGGCACACACCTGTAGTTCCAGCTGCCTGGAAGGCTGAGGTGGAAGGATCGTCTGAAACCAGCAGGTCGAGACTGCAGTGACTGTGAGCATACCACTGCACTCCAACCTGGGCAACAGAGTGAGACTCCAATTCAAAAAAAAAGGAAAAAAACAAAGACAAAAACCATGAAACTACAAGCAAAAAGAAAAAAAAAAGACAAAAACCATGAAACAACAAGCAATATGAAGCCGAAAACAAGTGAAAAAAATAGTACACTGGGTAACAGAGTTACGAAGAAACTTTTTTCCTTGTGTAAAAAAACTTCTGACAGCTGGGCGCGGTGGCTCATGCCTGTAATCCCAGCACTCTGGGAGGTGGAGGCGAGAGGATTGCCTGAGCTCAGGAGTTTGAGACCAGCCTAGTCAACTGGCAAGACCTCGTCTCCACAATAAATAAAAAAACTAGCCGGGCATGGTGGCGCAGGCCTTTGGTTCCAGCTACTTGGAAGGCTGAGGTAGCCTGAGTGACAGAATGAGATGCCGACTCAAAAAAAAAATTTCTAATGAACATAAATGATAAAATTCTTTTTCTGTAGAGATGAGGTCTCACCAAGTTGCACAGGCTGGTCTCGAATCCCTGGGCTCTTGCCTTGGCCTCCCAAAATGCTGGGATCACAGGCTTGAGCCACTGTGCCCGGCCATTATATCAACTCTAGAAATGCATTATGTATATTACTTTCAAATACTTTATAGTTTCTTTGTTTTCTTTTGAGTTAGGAGTATTTACTAACAATTCAAGCGTCTACAACATCACATCATTTTAGCATGGCACAGGAGCTTCCTCTGTAGGACAATTAAAAGCATTCCTGCTAAAACATAATAGCACATCTCTGTAGCAGACTAACGTATAAAATGACAAGTTTGAAGACCCGGTCTCCAAGATACAGTTTAATATATGTTATCCCAGGCCCTTTTCTATACATGGAAATAATTTCATTTCTCTTTTGCAAAAGATTCTCTCTTCTTTTTTTGTCTCCTAAAATTCTTTTTATTTTAAATCAAAGCAGAGATTTAAAAAAAACTTAGGGACTGGGCATGGTGGCTCACGCCTATAATCCTAGCAATAGGATTACACTTTAAAGCTTTCACTTGAAGTCAGGAGTTTAAGACCAGCCTGGGCAACTTGGCGAGACCTGTCTCTACAATAAGTCAAGAAAAATTAGCTGGGCGTGGTGGTGCACGCCCATAGTTCCAGCTACTTGGAAGGCTGAGGTGGAAGGATCACCTGAGCTCAGCAGGTCTAGGCCGCAGTAGCTGTGGGTGTGCAACTGTACTCCAGCCTGGGTGACAGAGTGAGACTCCTACTCAAAAATAAATAAATAAAATTAAAATGTATCATCAAAATAATCTAACAGTATAAAAAAAATTTTAAATGAAGCCGGGCTCGGTGGCTCAGCCTGTAATCCCGCGCCTTTGGGAGGCTGAGGT